ATCTCGGCGAATCTCGGCGAATCTCGCCGAATCTCGGCGAATCTCGGCGAATCTCGGCGAATCCCGGCGAATCTCGGCGAATCTCGGCGAATCTCGGCTGATCTCGTGCGGCGCGTCGGCCAGGCCCTCGACATCATCGAGAAGCAGAATGGCGCCGCTCACCTCTCGTGGGCCGCCTCGCCCGCTGCGCGCGCGCGCGGCGTCCTCACCCTCCCTCGACGCTCCCCCGCCCGCAGGCGACTTTGAGATCCTCGCCTTCTCGGTGCAGCCAAACGACCAGAACTCGGAGTTCAACTTCCGCCGTAGCGACGCGGTAGATGCGCGGTGCCACACTCCACTTCCTCTGCGCCACTTCACGAGCTCGCGTCTGCTTCACGGCCGCGCCATGCCGTCCACAACTTCGGGAGCTCTTTACCGATCACGGCCCACAGAGAGAGAGGGAGGGAGAGAGAGGGAGGGAGGGAGAGAGAGAGAGAGAGAGAGAGAGAGAGAGAGAGAGAGAGAGAGAGAGAGAGAGAGAGAGAGAGAGAGAGAGAGAGAGAGAGAGAGAGAGAGAGAGAGAGAGAGAGAGAGAGAGAGAGAGAGAGAGAGAGAGAGAGAGAGAGAGAGAGAGAGAGAGAGAGAGAGAGAGAGAGAGAGAGAGAGAGCCCGCGGGGGCCGCGGCCAACCAGTACGTGGGAACCCTGCGCGTGCCCAAGACCGCCCTCGCGCCGCCCGGCGCAGTCTGCCGCCTGCAGCCCCGTCTCTGGGTCTTGCGGTAGGCACATCGAGCGTCTCTCTGCGCGTGTGTGGAGTCGACGCGTCGGCGCTCGAAGACATCACGCGGCGGGTGCGCGCTCTCGTCGACGTGCTCGAGAGCGCCGAGGGCAGCCTGACCGTCCTCCCCGCCAAGGCGGCAGCACCGCCAGCCTGAGGGCGGCAGAGAGCGACGGCGGCGGAGAGGTGGCGGAGCGGCGGCGGAGCGATGGCCGGCGGGTCGGGGTGTGGGCGCACATCCTAGGGGCCAGGTGGCTACTAGTTCGTAGTTGACTAGACGACGAGAATCTATAACTCTTTTTTGGCGGGGAGTAAGCTGAGTTTTGCGGCATCGGGCATGCGGTTCCAGCCCCTTTTGTTCTCCGCGACGGTCTGCGCGACGCCCTGTGCCCGTGCCCTCGCGCTCCCGCCCCCGCCCCCGCCCCCCGCGGCAGTCAATATTATTATAACAAACCCCCGGGGCCTTTGAAGAAGGTTCAAATTTTTTGAGCCCTCCCAAAGGAAAAGCCCCCCGGGGCCACAAACCAGGGGGTATAGGCGCCCCCCCCCCCCCCCCCCCTTCCGGGCCACCCCCCCCCCTTCCTTCCCCCCCTAGGGCCCCCGAAACACTCTCAGCGGGAGGCGCCAGCGACGGCCCGCCCCCCCCCCCCTGCGCAACCCCGCCCTCCACCTCTCACTGCAGCTGCTGCGTAGTCGCGAGGCCGAGCAGGGCCGCCGCCACCTAATCGAAACTCAATGAATTCGATCATCAATTAATCAACGAGGTCGCGGGGCCGAGCAGGGCCGCCGCCACCGCGATCATGGCGAGCAGCAGCGCCGGCGTCGAGAGGAGCCCGCCACCTGGCGGGAGATTGCGGGAGATTGCGGGAGATTGCGGGAGATTGTGGGAGGTTGTGGGAGGTTGTGGGAGGTTGTGGGAGGTTGTGGGAGGTTGTGGGAGGTTGTGGGAGAGGTTGTGGGAGGTTGTGGGAGGTTGTGGGAGGCTGTGGGAGGTTGTGGGAGGTTGTGGGAGGTTGTGGGAGATCGTGGGAGATTGTGAGGGATCTAGACTCGGACCCTCGTCGCCCTCGCCGCCGCCGCCGCCGTCGGCAGGCGTGCCTGCGGGGGGAGGTCGAGAGGAACGGTGAGAGACGGTTCAGAGACGGTTCAGAGACGGTTCAGAGACGGTTCAGAGACGGTTCAGAGACGGTTCAGAGACGGTTCAGAGACGGTTCAGAGACGGTTCAGAGACGGTTCAGAGACGGTTCAGAGACGGTTCAGAGAGGCGGTGTGCGCGTGCGCGTGCGCGTGCGCGTGCGCGTGCGCGTGCGCGTGCGGAGGGGGAGCCGCGCGCCGCTCGCGTCGCCTCCCTCCTCCTCGGGCGCAACGAGGTCCGGGAAGAGCTCGCGGAAGAGCGCCTAGTGCTGATCAGTTGGTAGTGATACGTGTCAAGTATTGATGTTAATAGGTCCGGGGAGAGCTCGCGGAAGAGCGCCTACTAATAATTCGTACACCGTGTAGCTACTAGTTATGAACGAGGTCCGGTTTGGAGGAGAGGCTATCTCCCGCGGGAGGAGCGAGGCTAGACCTTGACTATATCTCCGCTGGATCTCGGCTAGACCTCGGCTTGATCTCGGCTAGAGAGAAGAGAGCGGCGCGCCGTCTTCCGGTTGAAGGCGTGAGACGCGCGCGCAAGCTGCGGGGCGGGTGGGGCGGGAGTCAGTAAGGGGCGTGGTGAAGTGCGATGCGCGCGGCGAAGCGCGAGGGCGCGTGAGGCGCGAGGGAAGCGCGAGAGGCGCGGTGAAGCGAGGCGCGCGGTGAAGTGCGAGCGGGCTCGCTCTCTCTCGCGGCTCTGGTCGCGCGTGGAAGCTGCAGGGATGGCTGTGTGCGATGGGGCTGAGGGCTGGCTGCGTGGAGAGGGCAGGCTGAGGGCTGGCTGTGTGCGATGGGGGATGGTTGTGTGCGAAAGGGGCTGGCTGTGTGCTAGCGGCACGAGAGACGGAGAGGGGCGGATCTCCGTGCCGCGCCTCGCCACCTCGCTAGATCCCGGGGCTGGTCTCGGCAGGTGGGGGCTGGTGCGTGCAGCTCTGGCCGCCTGCTGCCTCTCTGCTGTGGACTTTTCGACGGAGCCGACGGTCGGCGTCGACTCGAGCATAAAGGAGAGCACGCCGTTGAGGATGGTGCCGACGGACCAGGCCGGCACCCACGACTCCGGGTGGAAGTCGCTCATCGACAGGCACAGCCGCGTGTTCGTGTTGAAGCGGCCGTTCGGCGTGAGCATCATGATCGCTGGCGGCTTGTACGGGTAGTCGCTCGGAAAGAGCAGCTTGCCGTGGTACTGGCCGCCCGCGTACGGCGTGCTCGCCGGGCCGTTGATCACAAAGTGCCACTCGAGGATGTTGTTCGGGCGCGGCTCCGCCGAGATGTTGGGGACCGGCTCCTTGTTGAGCCTCTGGTACTCCTTCTGCAGCCGCAGCAGGCACGGCTTGGACGCCATGGGCTGCTCCTCGCCTGCGAGGCCGGGGCGGCGCGGGTTAGGAGCGAGCGCGGGACCTGGGCCGGCGCGCGCTCGCCGCCATCTGAGCACCCTGTGCTCTGTAGGCGCCTGTGTGTCGCTGTGTGCGCCGGCGTCCCGGAAGAATTTTGCGGGTGGGTGCGCTTTTTAGCTCCCCGGACTCAAAAGACACCGCCACATTCCTGAGACGAGCGAGGGCAGCCTCCTTAAAGGTGATAGGGTCTAGATTTGGAGCGCTCGCCGAAGAAGAGTACGACAAAATAGCGCCCGTGATTGCATGCACGCTGCCGCACTCACGGACCCCACATACCCGAAAGAAAGAAAAGGGAGCTCGCGGGGGAGGTGACGAGTGAACTACAGGTAGTGGGGAAGGCAGCCTCGACTGCCATACAGACATGGATGCGAAACAACGACAAGACCAAGGCACGGGCAGAGGAACGAGAGAAGAATATAGGGTGGATAAAGCGCCTGTTCCCCTTCGGGTGCATCGTTACAGCTGACAACGGGATTACCACTGGTGTTTCGTCCTCCTCGGAGTCTTCTTCCCCGGCTTCCTCCCATTCGGCTCTACGTTCAGCGTGGCTCATGTATGTATGTAGGAAGGTGGCTCACCCTCCATGCCGTGAACAGGCGCTTTATCCATCCTATATTCTTCTCTCTCTCCTCTGCCCGTGCCTTGGTCTTGTCGTTGTTTCGCACCCATGTCTGTAAGGCAATCGAGGCTGCCTTCCCCACTACCTGTAGTTCACTCGTCACCTCTCCCGCGAGCTCCCCTCTCTTTCTTTCGGGTATGGAGTCCGTGAGTGCGGGCAGCGTGCAGGCAATCACGGGCGCTATTTTGTCGTACTCCTCTTCGCACGGCGAGCGCTCCAAATCTAGACCCCATTGCCTTTAAGGAGGCTGCCCTCGCGCGTCTCAGAGAATGCGGCTGTGTCTTTTCCATTTGAGTCAGGCGCCGCCCGTTCGACTCTTGCTGTCGCGGGAAGGGCGGGTCGCTTGTTCGTTCGGCCGTTTTTATTGCCGCAATCAAAACTACGTACACGCCACACTCCAGACGACATGTACTCTCCCACCCGACAACTGGCAAAACGCTGTCGTGAGCCAGCCGCTTTTGCGGCAGACCGCGGAGGCCGACCGCGCCGCGTGCGGCCGCGGAGATCGACATGACGTGGCGACCGTCATCCCGTACGATGCCGCTGGCGCGTCGACGCAAGCCTGCGGCTCGATGGAGGGCTCCACGGCTCGGCGCGGCGGAGGTGCGCGGACTGCACGCCTCCCGCACGCCTCCCGGGAGCGATACACAGAGCGGTGCAATTCACATATGAGGAGGAGTGCCCGGGGGCGTGCCCCCGTCGGTCGCTGCGGCCGACGCTGATCACGCGCCGTTGCCCCCTCCCTGGTACCGCAAGGTGGAGAGACGGCGCCCCCTGACGTTTTGATTTTGGACCGCAGGCGGAGGACATCAGATCTAAGCTCGAACCAGTCACGGCGACTGCTGAAGCTGCGAGTGGGGCGTTCGGAATCGATGTGCTGGTGCTCCTTCCTCTCACCTCAGACGCCCACGGGCAAGCCGTGCCCGCCATATATGTGTCCAAGCCCGTGCCCGTGTGCAGGCGGTGACGCCCCCAACGGTGAGCGAAACGGGCTCGGGCGACGACGACGACGACGACCTGGCCCTGCCCCTGGGCCTCGGGCTCGGCCTCGGGCTCGGCATCCCGCTTCTTGCTGGCGCCGGCGCGTTCGCCTACAAGAAGGGCAAAGTCGGGGCAGCCCGGTCGCCAACGCCCGAGGCCGAGGCCGAGCAAGTCCCAAACGGCCCCGAGCTGCGATAGGTGCACTGGAACTCCGTCGGTGCGCCCGCGGGATCCACATCGGCGACAGAGGTGGGAGTCAACAGTGGGCCCGCGGCCACGCCAGCCGTTACCGCATGAGAGGCAGCTGCAAGGGAGGCGTGTGCGGGCCTTCTACGTCGGGGTGGGGTTTCCTTACGGCTCGATCACTCGTGAGCCGACATCGTGAGTGGGAAGCGAACTCGAGGAAGGGCAGCATTTGGACAGAGGAGGCGCTGGACGCCGTGCACACAAGTCACAATGGTGTGGCTGTGGGCCCCGCTCAAAATGTAATTTTCTGTAGCATGTGCTATGTAGAAAACTAAGAGAGAGCGCCCCACAGACGGACCCACGATGTGACACGACGCACGGCCCCAGAGTGGGCCACCCAAGGTAGCGTGCCGGCGCGGGTGAGACGCGGCGACACGCTAGACCGTGACTGCAACGGCACCCGCCGCACCGGCATCGCAAGAGCTGCTGCTGCCTCTCCTGCCGCCTGAGCAGGCCGGTGCTTTGCTCAGCCGGTTGATGTTGCGGCTGGCGGAGGCGGCCACTCGTCGCAGCTGCTGGACATGGGACTTGCCGACGGAATCAGATACCCGCTGGATCTCTGGCCGGAGCTCTTTTGCCTTGGCTGCTGTTGCGCCCAGTGCCTTCGCCAGAAGCACGCGTGACACCTAGAGATGCGAGAGCGCTCTGAGGTGTCTCTATTTTAGCTGGACGGCAGTACGCTGCGCCGTCGCTCTGTCGTGCACGCCTCGTGCTTCGTTGTGACCCACCCTGTCCCACCCGCCCGTGTGTGATCAGTGTCTACGGAGGGAGTGTCTTTGGCTCACGCCAGGGCGCTCGTTGCTCCTCCGTCTCTTTGTATCTTCCATACTGCAGTTATCAGAAGACGGGAGGACGGCACTCCGCCACCACACAGGGATGTAAAGGAGAGGGGTGTGGTGCGCTACCCGTCGCCCACCCTTGAAGTACACGGTATCTCTTCGTAAAATTCTTCTCGTGTGGGGTGGGGTGGGGATGTCGGGTTGGGGAGTGGGTGGGCGCCGGACTGGGAGTGGTGTGACTGCTCCTGTGGTGCGGGCGACGGCTTCTGAGGAAGCCGTCGCCCGCGCCTCACCTGTCGCGTGAATCGTGTCGGCACCGCCTGCTTGAAAAATTCTTCTCGTGGCGCCGCTGCCCGTCGCTGCCATTATGGCTTCCGTGCAGTTTCGGAGGGGAGACACCGTTCAGCCGGCCGCGCCTTTGAGCAAGTCCGTCATCTTTGGAGAGCGTGCTCACGGCTCCGGACGAACGCGGGTGGCCGAGAAGGCTGAGGCGCGAGATAACTCTCCGTAGGCACGTCCGGCCTCGGCGGCGTGCTGGGCTGGATCTGTGTTCACCCTTTCAACACGCTGGCCGTCCGGATGAACCTGTCCGTCATGTCGAGCGGCGGCGCGCCTCCCGCTCCCTTTGCCTCGTTCGCCTCCGACCTGATCAAGCGCGAGGGCGTCGCCGGTCTGTACGCCGGCCTCGGCGCCGGTTGCCTCCGGCAAGTCTTCTACGCGACATCGCGGTACGGCCTCTTCGAGACCTTCCGCGACGCGCTCGCAAAGTACCGCAAGACGGACTTTGCGCAGCGCTTCGCCACCGCCTCGGTCGCCGGCGGCTGCGCCGCCCTCATCTCGTGCCCCGTCGAGGTGATTGGGGAGATATGGGGAGATATGGGGAGATATGGGGAGACGTGCAATCTCGCTCCCCGGCCGGAGAGAGGGGCGGATCTAACCGCGGCTGATCTCGGCTCATCTCATCTCACCCTCACCTGACCTCATCTCACCCTCACCCGACCCGACCTGACCTGACCTGACCTGACCTGACCTGACCTGACCTGACCTGACCTGACCTGACCTGACCTGACCTGACCTGACCTGACCTGACCTGACCCGACCCGACCTGACCTGACCTGACCTGACCTGACCTGACCTGACCTGACCTGACCTGACCTGACCTGACCTGACCTGACCTGACCTGACCTGACCTGACCTGACCTGACCTGACCTGACCTGACCTGACCTGACCTGACCTGACCTGACCTGACCTGACCTGACCTGACCTGACCTGACCTGACCTGACCTGACCTGACCTGGCCTGACCTGACCTGACCTGACCTGGCCTGACCTCACCTTACCTTAGGTCTGTCTGGTCCGCATGTCGAACGCACG